CCTGGGGCAAACTTTTGTTGAGAGGTGATTAGATGTCCTTGTTTGTTTCCTCTCTGTTGTTGTGCTGTTGCAATTTTAGAGTTTTTTTTAAATACTGGTAGCCAGATTTTGTTCATTTTCATGGTTTCCTCCTTTCTGTTGAAATTATCCACATGCTTGTGTATTTCAGTGGCTTCTCTGTGTCGTCTGACATGGTGGTTGTGAGAGTGGTCCAGCATTTCTGTGTTCTCAAATAAAATGCTGTGTCCAGGTTGGTTCATCAGGTGCTCTGCTATGGCTGACTTCTCTGGTTGAAGTAGTCTGCAGTGCCTTTCATGTTCCTTGATTTGTGTTTGGGCACTGCGTTTGGTGGCTACCAGTATTAAACAACTCTAAAATTTCAACAGCACAACAACAGAGAGGAAACAAACAAGGACATCTAATCACTTCTCAACAAAAGTTTGCTCCAGGCACTGTCAGGCCATTATATGCTAATCAAGGTGGTCAGTTGAAACATCTGGGATGAGAAATCTGCTTCCCCTGTGTTGATCAGCCCAGGAAAAGGAGCTGGCCTGGACAGTGGATTGGGCTGAAATGGACCCAGTCCAGCTGTCCAGATAACAACAAAACCCCAGAGTATCCCCTGACTTTGCCTAAAGTGGAACACATTCAGGTTAAGGGCAAAAGACTTGCGATACTTATGACACCATGCATTGTGTAGACTGCCTGCGGTTGATTTGATGTTAGTTTGGATTCCCCCCCCCCCCGCCCCCATGTATATAAGCCCTAAATCTACATCATCAGATGTATGGAGTGATCTATGGCATATATGACTCTTTACAACAGAACTTGGGAGAAACAGCATGTTTCAAATTGCAGTCCATCTCAGCAAGACAGAGACAATTCAAGAGAATCTGCACTTGCTGGTTTCTAACTAAAGGAGACTGATTGTAGGATTTACATGAGTGTTGTAATTCTTGCCATTGTAACTGGGACTAGTAACTGGAGTTAGACCAGTGTGAGCATAAACCTCTGACTTGAAACACAGTCAGCACCTGATGGGCAATAAAGACCTATTAAATCATGACAAACCGTTCCATCACAACAGTTGAATCCTCGTGGGTCATTTGAGTCACCATTGCAAAGTGCTACCTGTGACAGGAAAGTTATCATTCCACCAACTATTCCTTTTTAGAGTTACAATTGTGTGATGCCAGTTCTGTACTTTTGCACCCTAGGAATTAGCTGCCAAAGAAAATGATAGCATGTCGCACAGCTCCTTTGATGTGTCACCGATAGCATCCAAAGAGGTCAAAGAACGAAGCAACAGAATGAAGAAGCTGTCTTTAGGGATGGAAGATTATGGAGAGGAGCAAAAAACCCCTCAGTCTTACTCTAGTGAAAGTCATCAGAAATTGGTAATTCAATGTTTGTTTGAGGCTCTGTGTGTGCAAATTGTTGCTTCTGTCTTGGTTTGCACCCTTACTTTGCACAAACTGTGGTGTCCAAATGGAGAAGGTCCATACATTAGGGGGACAATGTTTTAACCAAGATACTTGATCTTTAAAGCATCATTATTTTTTAAAAACTTCATATTAAAAAGATTTCTTGCTTTAAATGCTTTCTTCAGCACTGCAACATTAATACAAACATACCACCTAATATGTTGATTACTTCTGTTTTGTATTGTTGAAGGCTTTCATGGCTGGAATCATTGGGTTGCTGTAAGTTTTTCGGGCTGTACAGCCATGTTCCAGAAGCATTCTCTCCTGATGTTTCACCTGCATCTATGGCAGGCATCCTTAGAGGTTTTGAGACCTCACAATCCCTGAGGATGCCTGCCATAGATGCAGGCAAACCGTCAGGGAAGAATGCTTCTGGAACATGGCCATACAGCCCAAAAAACTTACAGCAACCCACTACTTTAGTTTTATTTGTAACACATAGCTTGGAGTGTCATGTTTAAATTAACTCAGTAATGCAAATGGGCAGCTTTGCTGACAGTACAACTGAGTAGAATACATACATTTTGCTGTGGCAAAGAATTTGCCCTGCATGGGTTGGGCAACTTGTGTATGTCATTAACAGGATGCTGGCCATAAATTAACAATGCAAGAAAAGCAATATGTTAGTGGCATTGTCATCTTACTATTCAAATAAAGGTATTTCTTGTTCTCTCTTGTTGGTCTTTAGAGGACAAAGAGAGAGTATAAGTTTTTTAAGGAGCCTCGGTGGCACAGTGGGTTAAGTCGCTGAGCTGCAGAACTTGCTGACCGAAAGGTTGGCGGTTCGAATCTGGGGAGTGAGGTGAGCTCCCACTGTTAGGCCCAGCTTCTGCTAACCTAGCAGTTAAAAAAATGGAAATGTGAGTAGATCAATAGGTACCGCTCCTACGGGAAAATAACCGTGCTCCATGCAGTCATGCATGACCTTGGAGGTGTTTACAGACAATGCCAGCTCTTCGGCTTAGAAATGGAGATGAGCACCACCCTCAAGAGTCGGACTCAACTAGACTTAATGTGAAGGGGAAACCTTTACCTTTACCTTTTAGGGCTGAACCCCCCCCTCCAGCTTATACTTGAGTGATGGTCCTGGTGAGAAGATGTGGGGCTGAAAGAAGCCCTTCTTTCAGACCCATGCCTTCTCGCTAGGACCCTCACCTCTCCGCACAGCAACCCAGCTCTGTCCTCTCTTATGTGCCTTCCTTCCTCTCCCCCCTCTCATGCACTTTCCTGCCTTCCAAACATTACAGTTTTATGTAAATATTCAAAAATATTGAAGGCTTTCATGGCTGGAATCATTTGGTTGCTGTAAGTTTTTCGGGCTGTATGGCCATGTTTCAGAAGCATTCTCTCCTGGTATTTCACCTGCATCTATGGCAGGCATCCTTAGAGGTTTTGAGAGGTTTTGAGACCTCACAATCCCTGAGGATTAAGACTGATACTTAATTAATGTAATTTTATTGGTATCTATTTTTATTTTGAGATTTACTAGTAGCTGCTGTATTTCCCACCCTCAGCTTATATTCGAGTCAATAAGTTTCCCCAGTTTTTTGTGTGGTTAAATTAGGTACTTCAGCTTATATTTGGGTTGGCTTATATTTGAGTATATACAGTAACCTTATCCGCATGCAGTCTTCTAACAATTGATAATAGTGTAGTTTGTGCAGTTATGAAATCCCTCCAGATAACTGACAGTGAAGCTAATTGGTTCTGCAGACCAGAAATAATCATATGGTAGTAGACATATGGAGTGGTAAAATCAATGGGGAGCTTCCTTGAATGGTTAAAGTACTGAGTTAATGAGAAACAGTATATTAAAAGCAGCCATCCATGAAAGCACATAATTCTTTTAAGCATATACAAGAAGGAAGGAGAGGAAGAAAGGGAAGGAAATCATGATGTTTCTCTGCAGTTGACAGACTCTTAGTAAGTACTTGTTCTCCTCGAGTGTAAATATATTGAATTTAAATGTGAACTTCCATAACCCTTGGAGAGCATCAGAGTCAATATTACATCTACCATCTTTCCCCTTGTTTCCCCTTGTTTAGGCTGTCCTTACCCACAGTTATGCTTCTAGTTCAAACCCAGCGAAACGTCGACCTAGCCATGGCAGCGTATTCAATTTCCATGTACCAAGGGGTGAATTTGGGGAGGATGATTCTAGCAGCGCTGGGGAGATGGAGAACCAGCGTGGCTTGCTGCTCGCTACGCGGATGGGGAGGCGGCCAAGCATCCAAAGCCAAGCCAGCTACAATTCTCGCCCAGGGACTCCGAATTACATGATACCTGGACGATGGAGCACTGGAGAGGAGTGCAATGGGCCAATCGCATTGATGGGGAGCAGTGGAGTAAGGCCACTCAAAGAACCCATTTCAGGGGAAGGGGTGTTGCTTCCTCCAGTTATGGAAAACCCCAGCAAAGGAGATCTGGTATGTAAAATATTTACTGCATATGTTGCAATTTGTCATGGGCATACAACTTTTTTTTTAACTCTTGGCAAAAGCAAACATAACAAAGCCATTTGGTGTTAGCAGTAGAGTAAGTCCAGACACTTTCAAGGAGCTGGACTTAAGACTTGCAATGGTTTGCATACATCAGTATGGTACAACTTATGTATCCCTGTTGCAATGATTATCTAACTTTCTTGAATGGGTTGCTAATATGGTGTAGTTGTTTGAGCATTGGGATCATAACATTGGAGATTAGGACTGAATATCTGCTCGGCCATGGAAACCTATTGGGTGACCTTGAGCAAGTCAGGCTTTTTCAACCTGATAGAAAGGCAAAATTAAAAACTTTTGGAACAAATTATGCCAAATAAATCATCTGATAGGTTCACCTTAGAGTTGCCATCAATGGGAAATGACTTGAAGGCACACAACAACAACAATAGGATCACCTCAAAACACTTACAGTTTCTGGCACTGATTGTTCTATTAATCTTCTATGGATGGACTTCCTAGAATGCTTTCAATGAAATTATTTATTTTTATTTATTTACTTAATTTCTACCCCACCTTTCTCACCCAAAGGGACTCAAGGCAGCTTACAATTTCTTACAAAAATTCAATGCCGGTAAAAATTAGCAATAATAATAACATTTATAACAGTTCAAAACAATTAACATTAAGCAAATAGTACACATGAAACAGTATACAAAAATTTAAAAGTATATAAAGTGCATAGCTCAATTTATCCAGACCATGGCAAAATCATAAAAACTTATTCTTAAAATGCTTGGATGGAATTTGGGGGGAGTTCCCATCGTTGCCCCCCCCCCCCCATAGATCATCTGGGGAGGCCCTGCTTTTGGTCTCACTGCCATCGCAGTCATATTTGGTGGGGATGAGAGACAGGACCTTCTCTGTGGTGGCCCCTCAGCTATGAACTCCCTCCCTAAGGAGGTTAAATCTGCCCCCTCCCTCCTGACCTTCCGGAAGAAACTTAAATCCTGGCTATGTGATCAAGCGTTTGCCAAATAGATTGATTTTACTGGTGACGATAAGATTTTAATTGACCACAATTTGGATTGATTTGGATGATGTTTTTAACTCACCACTGCTTTAATGTACATTTATGACTATTTTTATGTATCTAGTTGTATTTTATTATGTGTTTTATATTGTGTTGGCATTGAATTGTTGTCTGTTGGAAGCCATCCTGTGTCCCTCCTCGGAGGTCGAGAAGGATGGGGTATAAATGTTCTAAACAAGTAAATAATAAATAATTGTGTGCAGAGCCAGGTCTTCAGCTTTTTTTCTAAAACCCAGAAGGGATGGGACCTGCCTGATGTCACTGGGGAGGGAGTTCCACAGCTGAGGAGCCAACACTGAGAAGGCCCTGTCTCTCATCCCCACCAATCGTGCTTGCGAAGAAGGTGGGACCAAGAGCAGGGCCTCCCCAGAAGATCTTCAAGTTCTAGTAGGCTCATAACCGCCTTGAGTCGCCAATTGGCTGAGAAAGGCGGTATACAAATACAGTAAATAAATAAATAAAATAAGAGGAGATGTGTTTGGACATATAAGTTGGATCAGAACTGTTTAGGGCTTTGTATGTTAAGACCAGCACTTTAAATTGGGCTTGGTAGCATATCGGCAGCCAGTGGAGTTGACGCAACAGAGGAGTAGTATGCTCCTGTACGCCACTCCGGTTAGAAGTCTGGTCACTTTACATTGGACTAGTTGGCACTTCTGGGCTGTCTTCAAAGGCAACCCCATGTAGAGCACTTTGCAGTAATCTAAGTGAGATGTAACAAGAATGTGGACCACTGTGGTCAAGTCTGACTTCCCAAGGTACAGGCGCAACTAGCGCATAAGTTTTAATTGTACAAATGCTTCCCATCACTGTCAAAACCTGGGGTTCCAGGCTCAACAAGGAATCCAGGAGAACACCCAAGCTGTGAACCTGTGTCTTCAGGGGGAGTGTAACCCCGTCCAACACAGGCTGTAACCCTATATCCTATTTGGCCTTGTGACTGACCAGGAGGACCTCTGTCTTGTCTGGATTCAGTTTCAATTTGTTCGCCCTCATCCAGACCATCACAGCTGCCAAGCACTGGGTCAGGACTTGAACAGCCTGCTTAGTAACAGGTGTGATATTTGCATGCTATATCAATGATACAAAAGACATAGTTGAAGTTATGTGTTGTCAGACAGAGATAACACATCTCTGGGAAGTCTGATCTGGCCACAGTGGTCCACGCTCTTGTTACATCCCGAATAGACTACTGCAACGCACTCTACGTGGGGTTGCCCTTGAAGACTGTTCGGAAACTTCAACTGGTCCAGCGAGCGGCAGCCAGATTACTCACCGGAGCGTCATACAGGGAGCACACCACCCTCCTGCTGTGTCAGCTCCACTGGCTGCCGGTTCAGTTCCGAGCACAATTCAAGGTGCTGGTTTTGACCTACAAAACCCTGTACGGTTCCGGACCAGTGTATCTGTCTGAACGTATCTCCCTCTACGTCCCACCCCAGAGTCTGAGATCATCTGGGGAGGCCCTGCTCTCGACCCCACTGCTATCACAAGTGAGGTTGGTGGGGACGAGGAGCAGGGCCTTCTCGGTGGTGGCCCCTCACCTGTAGAACTCACTCCCGGGAGAAATTAGGGCATCAACATCCCTCCTCTCCTTCAGGAGGAAAGTAAAGACGTGGTTGTGGGACCAGGCCTTTGGGCAATCTGACAACTAGATAAGGACAATCAAACGACTAGGACTGACAGGACTGACAATGTGGAATTGGAATTTGGACTATGAGATAGCGAACGCTGACCGTCTATGAGGAGTAATTGGGTTTGTATTGTTTTATTGGTTTTATTGGTTTTAGGGTTGTAATGCAGGAATTGTTGTTTAACTGTTCAACTGTTAACTGTGTAATTGATGTTATTTTGTTTTACTACTGTTATGTGATGCTGGCATCGAATTGTGCCTTTGTAAGCCGCCCTGAGTCCCCTTCGGGGTGAGAAGGGCGGGGTAGAAGAAACCGAAATAAATAAATAAATAAATAAATAAATAAATAAATAAATAATATACCCAAAGCATTTTACTATTTTTATGATTCTATACTTCTTATGAATGGCTGTTTTGGTAGTTGATGGACCACAAAATCACATGAATCTAGTTCTTTCTAAGAATAATGCCAAAGCAGTTCCATACAATACAAACAGATTCGGTTTGGTTATTTGGGGTAGCCACAAATAGAAAGTGAAAAAATAGGCTGGAGTCTGGCAATCCCTTTCCCCAGTTTTCTGTCTGAAATGGTTCCAAGCAAACATCAGTATACCATAATTCTTGTACACTTTTCTTCCCTACACAGTATCTGATGACGCTGATCGATCCAGTGGGTTGAGACCTCTTGTTTATCCCTTTGAAGCTTAATTGAGTCTGAGATTCCAGCTAGTCAAGCAATCATTCTTTTGTTTTCCCTGCATTTGATGAGAAACAATTATTGGTTTTCAGTTTAGGGAAGCCGTGAGGATCCTTGTTGGACATGCCTAACAGTGTTGACCTGTATTCAACCTCTATTTCGGTCTGAACATGAAGTCCAAAAGTATTTCATAAGCTGTTGCTGTTTACATGTTTGAACAGACTCCTTCATATGATGAGGCCAAAAGGATGCTCCAAAGTCACCGTCTGTCTGTGGATCATTATAACCATCCGCTTCAAAGGCAGAGGGCAGCCAGTGCAGTCAGCATCATTACAAGTGTGCTGGAAGGTACACATTTCTATTGTATGTCAACAACATACTGTAATTCCCATTTATTTATCGTGTCAGCAGAGTAGCATAGCGCAAGGGCAGATGTCTTCACTGCATCTGGTTGTGATCCCCAGGTTGTGCCAGTCAGCTTTCGTATGATATTGTTTCTAGCACCCACTTTTTGCTTGATGTTCTTTTAGGTAAGAGCACCATCCAGAGTGACTCCCAGGTATTTGGGTGCGGTGCAGTGCTCCAGTGGGATTCCTTCCCAGGTGATCCTCAGAGCTCGGGATGCTTGTCTGTTCTTGAGATGAAAAGCACATGTCTGTGTTTTAGATGGGTTAAGGATCAGCTGGTTTTCCCTGTAATAGGCAGTAAGGGCACCTAGAGCTTCACAGAGCTTCTGTTCAACCATCTCAAAGCTCCCTGCTTGAGCAGTAATGGCACAATCATCAGCATAGATGAAACTCTCTGTCCCTTCTGGCAGTGGCTGGTCATTTGTGTAAATGTTGAACATCGATGGAGCAAGCACGCTCCCCTGAGGCAGGCCGTTCTTCTGTTTCCGCCATCCGCTTCTCTGGCCCTGGAACTCAACAAAAAAGCTCCTGTTTTGTAGCAGGTTTCCTGTGAGGTGGGTGAGGTGGTAGTCCTTTGTGATATTATACATTTTTCTCAGGAGGAGGCAGTGGTTCACAGTATCATAAGCTGCTGACAGGTCTATGAAGACCCAGAAGAATGTGTCATATGGTCAGCTTCATTCCCATATGTCATTTAATGAATGGGCTGAATATGAGCTTAGGAAATAAGAGAGAGGTGCTAGGGATGATGGGGAAAAGAGGAGGTTCTTTGCATATGTACAGCCCCTCTTTCCAGCAAAAAGGACAATTAGGGGCACACAAATCTATTGTTTGTTAAATCCCAAATCTCCTCCTTGTTTGTTAAAAAATCTTATAGGGTCATGGAGTTGGAAGAGACCCAAGGGTAATCCATTCTGCCATGCAGGAATATACAATCGAAGCACTCCTGACAGATGGCCACCCAGCCTCTGTTTCAAAATCTCCAGAGAAGGGGATTTAACCATACTTGCAAGCAGGAAGTTTCACTGTTGAACAGCTCTTACTGCCAAGAAAGTCATCCTGATGTATTGTCATGGCTAGAATCACTGGGTTGTTGTAGGTTTTTTGAGCTGTATGGCCATGTTCTAGAAGCATTCTCTCCTGACATTTTGACCTGCATCTGTGGCAAGCATCCTCAGAGGTTGTGAGGTTTGTTGGAAACTAGGAAAATAGGGTTTATATATCTGTGGAACGTCCAGGATGGGAGAAAGAACTCTTGTTTGCTGGAGATAGGTGTGAATGTTTCAATTGGCCACCTTGATTAGCATTTGATGACCTGACAGTTTTTAGGTGTGGCTTGTTACTGCCTGGGAAATTCCTTTGTTGATAGGTGATTGGCTATTCCTGATTTTTTCTTCAGACACAGTTCCCCTGTGTTTGAGTTTTGTTTTTTATTTACTGTTATAATTTTAGAGGGGTTTTTAAGTGCTGGCAGCCAGATTTAATTCACTTTCCTGGTTTCCTCTTTCCTGTTGAAATTGTCCATGCGCTTGTGGATTTCGATGGCTTCTCTGTGTAACCTGACATGGTGGTTGTTAGAGTGGTTCGGCATTTCTGTGTTCTCAAATAATATGCTGTGTCCAGGTTAGTTCATCAGGTGGTCGGCAATGGCTGACTTCTCTGGTTGAAGTAGTCTGTAGTGCTTTTCATGTTCCTTGATTCGTGTTTGGGCAATGTTGCTGTGTTTGGTAGTCCCTATGGAGACTTGTCCACAGCTGCATGGGATACGGTAGACTCTTGCAGAGGTGAGAGGTAACCACTCCAACAATCACCATGTCAGGCTACACAGAGAAGCCATTGAACTCCACAAGCATGTGGACAATTTCAACAGAAAGGAGGAAACCATGAAAATGAACAAAATCTGGCTACCAGTACTAAAAAACTCTAAAATTATAACATGGAAGATGAAGCAACAGCACCCTCCTGTGACCAAAGTTGAACGCGGCCTCCAGTTGCTGGAAATGGAAAAGATGGAAAAGATGAGAAACACCTTTACCTCTGTTTATGTGTTGGCTGTATGTTGTTATACACACCTCTATCTGTTCTTTGTCTTGTCATTGTATAATCGGCATTGAATGTTTGCCATATATGGGTCCTGTTTATCCACCCTGAGTCCCCTCAGGGAGATAGAGTGGAATATAAATAAAGTATATTATTCAGCTCTTCTTAGCCATAACTAGAATATCCGATAATGAGTAACCTGGGATATGTGCATTTGTGTGCCAGCAACCGTTCAAATTTTTGAGAACCATTTTGGCTGGAAATACTTGACTGGCCAGTTCCTTCTTTTCTTCTACAATTTTGGAGGGTGGATATCTTACTGCATTTTGTTCCTTGTTTAGAACTTGAAGAATCAAATCAGAGATGCCCCCCTTTTTTGAAGAAGTTGGCCTTCAGGTATCTTGTCTGGGAATGTTGCCCACTGTGGATGAAAATAAAGAAGAAAGTGAGCATTTTTGTTATGGATCCATTTACTGACCTCGCGATCACACTTTGCATTGTGATTAATACTCTTTTCATGGCTCTAGAACACTACAAAATGACACCCGGGTTCAAACTCATGCTTTCCATTGGGAACAAGGTAAGTACAGTTTGACAACTGAAACATTCCCAACTGTTTTATTTTAACTATCTAGACAGTTGATCACTTGGGGCTGTGGTCACGCAATAGGTTAAACAATTGAAATATTGAATCTGCAGACCTAATGTTCATGATCTGAGTCTAGTTTTAACTTAGGGAGGGAATTGTTCAGTGACTTGAATTTGACTGTGCTGTTTCTATTTTATAGATTTTCACAGCAATTTTTACTGCAGAAGTGATCCTGAAAATCATTGCAATGGACCCCTTTTACTATTTCCAGCAGCGTTCAAATATCTTTGACAGTATTGTTGTTTTCATCAGCATCATTGAATTGAGCATTCCCAGCGAGCCCCCAAAACCTGGCAAGGGAAAAAGAGGCGGAAAGAAAGGCACCTTCACCGTTTTACGAACTTTGCGGCTGGTAATAAATTAACTCTTTTTGGTCTATTTCATTTATTTCTGGAAACACTGAACATAGAACTCATGAGAAAGTGAAAACCAGTTTAAAATATATTTAAAACATAATTAAAAATGGATAAAAGACATATAACACTACTATGAATGTGATCATTGTTATGAAAAGCAATCAGTTAGGTAGAGGAAAATGGATAAGTGGGAGGATTGATAGGGAAGTATTTAGTACAAATCTTAGGCACTATTTACACCATCATATAATGCACTTTGGAATTGCATTATATGATCAGAATAGATTCATATAATGCATTGAATGCAATTAAACTACATTATATGAGTCTAGGTAAATGTGCTGTCACGCGCTGGGCCTATAGCAGTTGGCTTTTGAATAGGACATGCTCTTTGTGTCCAACGGGGAGCCGGGGTGCCTCGAGTGAGAGGCCCTAAGGATTTTCCTATACAGAGTCTTTAGAAGCTTGAAAAGTTTAACAAAGTCCTTTATTATTGCTTAAGTCTTCAACAAACAATCAAATACTTCTTAGATCTTCAACAAATTAAACAAATGCTTCAAGGCTTTGAATCAACTGGTGGCTTTCTTAATCTTGTCCACAAGGGACAGATAACTGGCTTCATGAACTGTTTCTTTTCTTTAAGAGGAAAACCCCTTTTAATCCTTCCTTGGGCAATCTACTTTCTAAACTTTGCTGGTGTGGGCTCTACTCCCGGCTCCAAACTGCTTCTTGGGTCCTGAGTAGACCTACCAGTCAAGGTTTTGTAGAGTCTCCAGCTGGAGTCCTTTGGAACTGTTTCCCCCCGGATGCTGTGAGAAACGAAGCTTTTCTACAGGTGGAGCTAATCCATGTCCTGTAGCTAAGCTTTCCAATGCAAGACTGACCTAAAATGGCTCCCTCTCTTCCCAGAGCCCTGGGGAAAGGGGTGGAACCAAAACTTAACAATGATTGATGGGTCATTGGCCCTATAATTGCAAACCAAGGGAAGCCACCTTACTGCAAAATGCATGGTATCTTGGAATGCATGCAAACGCTCAATAGAAAGAAAAGAAGTTGGAGCTCCTGCTACAGCCATACCAGCACAGTAAAGGTAAAGGTTTCCCCTTGACATTAAGTCTAGTCATGTCCAACTCTGGGATGGCTCATCTCCATTTCTAAACCGAAGAGCCGGTGTTGTCCGTAGACACCTCCTAGGTCATGTGACCTTATAATGGAGTTTGAAACTACATTATATGTAAATGTGATGCATGGCTGAATCTGCATGGCCAAATAATGCAGTTCAATGCAGTTAAACTACATTATATGGGTCTACTCTGTTTCAAACTGCATTATATGGCGGCATAAGTCCAGTGGGAGGGAAGGTAAAAGAGAGAAAAGCAAGACTGTAAATTATGATTTATTGTTGTACTGCTATACTGTATATTGTAAATATGCAATTAAAACATCAGCACTGTCCAACCATATGAATTTGGGGCCGTGGTGGCACAATGGGTTAAACCCTTGTGCTGCTGAACTGCTGACCTGATGGTTGGCAGTTCAAATTCACGAGATGGGGTGAGCTCTCACTGTTAGCCCTAGCTCCTGCCAACCTAACAGTTCGAAAACATGCAAATGTGAGCAGATCCTTCTGTAAAGATCTCAAAATGTGGATGTTCTAATGTGCTTTTGATTAATCAGTTCACTAGATAATTTTGGCCCCTCTAGCCATAACTTAGCTTTGGCTCTTTTGCTTTACCATTATCCCTGCCCTGTCATTGTATTGCTCAAACTGACCTGGCCCTCCTAGTCCAGACTTATCATCTGGCTCCTGCACTCTTCTATCAGCCCTGCCCTTGCACAAGTCCTGCCTCGACCATAAGCTTAGTACATGTCCATTATGTTAGGGTATTGTGTTCTTGTTGTTGGTTATGTTTTTATGATGTTTTGTATTTGTATTTGTAATTTTTAGTGTATTATAGTTTAATCTCTGTTTGCCCGGGCTTGTTCCCATGTAAGCCGCCCCGAGTTCCTTCAGGAACAAAAAAAAAAAGTTGTTGATGATGATGATGATTATTATTTTACTGACACAAAAACACAATGTGACACAGCAAACTAGATATATATGCTGGATTTCGTATTCCAAAATCACAGGTTGAACACTTCCCAAGCGTTTAGGACAGTGTGATGTATTTTCGAATGGTGCATGCACATCCAAGTAAGGTGGCCTATTGCAGTTGATTATTATTATTGTTATTGTCATTATTACCACTTTGGTGTGGAAGGCATAAGATGCTCCAAGTAGTCATGCCGGTGTCATGCCCAAAAGGTGACAACACGGACTCCTCAGCTTGCAAATGGAGAACAGCACTTCCTCCAGAGCCAGAGATGAGCACTGCCTCCAAAGCTGGAAATGAAAGGAGAAACCTTTGCCTTTGTGTTTGTGTATTTCATTGTATTGTAACAATGCATTGAATGTTTGCCAGTATCTGTTTATATTGTAATCTGCTCTGAGCCCCCATGTTGTTGTTATACTGATACAAAAATACAGTATGACACAGCAAACGAGATATATATGCTGGATTTCGTATTCCAAAATCACAAGTCGAATACTTCCCAAGCGTTTAGGACTGTGTAATGTATTTTCAAATGATGTGTGCAGATCCAAATAAGGTGGCCTTTTGCAGTTGACAGATCATGATTTTATTATTTTCAAATGCTGGCTGAGACCTTTTGGCATGACACCTAATGTGCCGATGACCACTGGGACCACCTGTACTGGTTTATGCCAGAGCCTTTGCAGTTCGATTTTGTGGTCCTGATAACGGCTAAGTTTTCCCTGTTGTTTTTCATCAATTTGACTGTCATTTGTTATGGCGACATCAATAATCTAATTTTTTTTCTTTTCCACAATCGTGATGTCTGGTGTATTGTGTTCCAAAACTTCATTAGTCTGGATTTAGAAGTCCCACAGTATTTTTGTGTGTTCATTTTCCACTACCTTTGCAGGTTTATGATCCCACCAGTTATTTACTATCAGAAGGTGGTATTTGTGACATAAGTTCCAATGAATCATTTGGGCCACAGTGTTGTGCCTCTGTTTGTAGTCCGTCTGTGATTTTCTTGCAGCAGCTGAATATATGATCAATGGTTTCATCAGCTTCCTTGTGAAAGTGTTGTTGTTATTATTATTACAGAATATTTTATCTTAAATACATAACTTGGCAATTATTACTGGTCTGTCTTTTAAATGTACAACCTGACAATTTCTGTTTTCTAATGATATGCTGCTTTGTTCCCTAACAGCTGCGTGTCTTCAAATTGGCCAAGTCTTGGCCAACCTTAAACACTCTTATCAAAATCATTTTGAACTCCATCGGTGCCTTGAGCAACCTCACCCTTGTTTTGATCCTCATCGTCTTCATCTTTGCTGTTTTCGGAATGCAGCTCTTTGGCAACAGCTATAGGTTAGGTCGCTGCAATATCACTGCCACTTGCAGACCACGGTGGCATATGGAGGACTTTTACCACTCTTTCCTGGTTATTTTCCGGATTCTGTGTGGAGAATGGATCGAGACCATGTGGGGTTGTATGGTGGTGGCAGACACGCCCTTGTGCCTCTTAGTTTTCCTGTCAGTGATGGTGATCGGAAATTTGGTGGTGAGTTTTCAGATATTTGTAAGTGTTTTTTCCAACATCAAGATGTTTCTGTTTGGTTTATTGTTAATGTAATGGGGATGTGTTTCTGAAAATACATAAATTGTGATATATTATCGAGGACTTTCATGGCCAGAATCACTGGGTTGTTTTGTGTTTTCTGGGCTTATTGTCAACTTCAAAGGCCATTGAATCATTGGAAGGAAAATCTGTGGATACAGAGGGCCAACCATATTTTTTAACATAGTGGCCAGTTCTCTTTAGTTTTTACCCAGTTTTGGTCCCCAGATGTTATTGAATGACAACCCCCATCACTTTGGATTTTCGGCTATGTGGGCTAGGGATAATGGTAATTGCAACCCAATGGCCGCTGTGGGGCAATGGGTTACACCCTTGTGTCCGCTGAACTGCTGACCTGAAGACCTGAAGGTCGACGGTTCAAATCTGTGAGACAAGGTGAGCTACCATCTGTCAGCCCCAGCTTCCCATGTGCGGACATGAGAGAAGCCTCCCACAGGATGGTAACAGATCTGAGCATCCCCTGGGCAACGTCCTTGCAAACAGCCAGTTCTCTCACACCAGAAGCAACTTGCAGTTTCTCAAGTCACTCTTGACATGAAAAAATATATACCCCATTGGCACTTGTAGCTCTGGGAAAGGTTTAAAGGCATTTTACCATCAGACCTCAGATCTACAACCTCTGTATCTATATCCAAACCCCATTACCCTGACTAAACGAAACAAATGGCAGCCTCCCAGATGTTACTGTAACACAACTCTCATTAGGTCTTGCCATGATATCTAATGATGAGGAATACAAGAGTTGTAGTCTAGCTGGAGGGCCATGTAAAATGAGATGTGGGTTTCATAGAATCATAGAATCATAGAATCAAAGAGTTGGAAGAGACCTCATG